CGTCAGGGTGAATGAGTGGGCAGGCGGGGGATCGGGGAAGTGCAGTGTGGCCCAAGGTTTCATTCCTTGAAACGGAACTGCAGCCAGCACCGCAGGTCGGTTTGCCCAGAATGCTAAATGCTCAGGCCCCGGGTAAATGCGGGGGTGCCGTGGAGATTGGCTTTCTTAATTAACATTCTCTACTTTGTTACAAGTGGGTTGCCAGTTACCTTAGAGTACTGAGAACTCTGGTGCCTGTGCTCCTGCACCTGTGAGCTACAGGATGGGGAATCCCAAGTTGGAGATTATCCTCGGCCACAGTGAGTCTGAGGCCAGCCTGGGCTAGGTGAGACCTTGTCTCAAAAATACTGAGAATACTCCCTGTGCTGCGCCCATTTGCTCTAGAAAGAGCTGGAAGGGAAGATCTCAGGTCCTGGGACTGCTGGCATACAATTTTGCTAACAATTCCTTCAATTTGCAACGTTTCAAGAAGAAAAATTGCATTTCCTACCAGAAAGCGGATAGCTGTCTAATGAGAGAGAGATAGGTGGTGGCTTCTGTCTTTCTCTAGTGAATATATTTTGCTGTCAACAGATCTGGAAGGTGGAGAAGGGGCCGGACGGGAAAGCCGTTGTGGAATTCCTCTCCAATCTTGCTCGGCACACCAGAGCTGTCAATGTTGTGCGTTTTTCTCCATCTGGGGAGATCTTAGCATCTGGAGGTGATGGTGAGTGTTGTTCAGCAAGCTGACACTTAGGCATCTCCTGTCTGATAGTGAGGTTTGAGCTGCGGGTGACGTGGACAGCAACCACAGCACCTTGGAGACTGAAACAGGACGAATGAAAATTGAAGGGCCAGCTGGGATAAAATAGAAAATTCTATCAAGGAAAGAAAGTCAAATGAGATATGAGCTGGTGTGTCTTCCATTCGGGGTGTCATTGACACGCCTGTGTGCCTTTCATTTAGTTAACGTTTGTGGAGTGTACCAGTGTGAAGATGGAAGACAGCATTAAACTCAGAAGATATGTCTGAAAATCGCTCCCTTCTCCATTGTCCCCCGCAGGGTGGTTGGGTATGGTAGGAAAAGTTGGCACAGTTCTGTCACTGACCCTGGGATGGTGCTGCGCCTGTTTATGGTGATCGCGGTGGGCCCTGCACTTCTGTGTAATCTTCCCATAATTTGTGCCTGTTTGGGGTAGATTGATTTGTGTTGTCTGACTACTACAATGAGAAAAGAGAATACAGAGAAAGTCAGCTTTACACCATACATTACTAAATACTCTAGAGGACAGTACAAAGTAAAACAAATCGTAGTTTTTGTTTGGAAAAAGAGGAATGATTGAATTCTGTGTGATAATGCCAGAATATATGTGTGTGTGTGTACACGCATACAGTGTACACGCATACAGTGTTCGTGCATACAGTGTACACGCATACAGTGTTCGTGCATACAGTGTACACGCATACAGTGTTCGTGCATACAGTGTACACGCATACAGTGTTCGTGCATACAGTGTACACGCATACAGTGTACACGCATACAGTGTACATGATACAGAGTACATGCATACAGTGTACATACATGTGCACATTTACAGGAAGGTAGAACAGCGTTGAGGAGGCTGCAGGCTGGCTCCTGTGAAGTGGCCCTGGATGGTTTCCCTTTTACAAAGTCCCTTAGCCTTGAAGACCAAAACCTCGCTCTCGTCACCTCATGGAGCGTGTTGATCTTTGTAGGCCCATTTCCAGCAGGCTCCATGATGAGCCTGTGCAGCTAGGACTCCAGGTGGCTTCCAGTGAGCTATTTTAGTCTGTTTGCTCATTCACTCTCCTTCCTGGGCATGCCAGAAGGATCACATGGTGGGTTATGATGAGCATATAGTCGGCATGGGAGAAATTGTCAGGCTCAGACCATTGCTAGTGTCAAGCTGAGGTTTCTTACGTGTTTATAATGACCTGAGTGGGTGGCAGCAAAGAGTGGCTTGCTATGTCCAGGCCACCGAGTTTTAGTGTTTCATGTGGATTCTCCAGTCAGTCTTCCTAAGGGCCCTGTGAGGTAGGTACGTAACAAGATGAGGCTCCCACAGGCATGGTTTTCTCAGACCCTTCTCTTTCCTTCTGATCAGCTATCTGTGAGTTGTGTCTCTGGTTGCTTGATGCAGTCAGTACTTTGTATTTCGCTGGCCCAGAGAGCCCGTATGTATGATGACCCTACAGTGGGTCTATCAAGAATGGTTTCATTTTTGTTTTATTTCCTGAAGAAGGCAAATTTACTTGTCCTGTTCAAATTCTTTGTGTTTTTCTAGCCCAAATTCTTGTTCTTCTGTGATAGGGTCTCGTGTAGCCCAGGCTAGCTTTAAACTCACCATGTAGCCAAGGCTAGCCTTGAAAGTGTGATCCTCCTGGTATAGACTCCCCCAGGCTGGATTACAGGTCTATACCATCATGCAGTCTGTCCATATTCTTGGAAGTGATTGAGCTTCATGATTAGAGTGTCCATTGAGCAACATAAAACTTAGAAAACACCTGAAAACTCCAGAGGTGAAGGAGGGTGTGGGAAGGCCTTGTTCATGCGGTGTGATTCATCCACACCTGAAAACTCCAGAGGTGAAGGAGGGTGTGGGAAGGCCTTGTTCATGCGGTGTGATTCATCCCACAGATGCTGTCGTTCTCTTGTGGAGGATGAATGATAACAAGGAGCCAGAGCCGATCACCTTTCAGGACGAGGATGAGGCTCAGTTGAACAAGGAGAACTGGACTGTGATAAAAACCCTGAGGTAAGGGAGGAGGGACCGTTGGGACTGATTCTTTTTTTTTTAGATTAAAGATACTTTTTATAATTTGTGATTATTTATGTGTATGAGTCAGAGTGCATGCCATTGTGTGTTGGGGGTACCTGCAGAGGTCAGAAGAGGGTGTCAGATCCCTGGGAGCTGGAGGTACAGGAATACTGTGGTACTTACTGTTGGTGCTGAGAGCCAAGTTTGATCTCTCTGGAAGAGTGGCAAGTGTGCTTATGTTCCAGCTGGAGTGACTCTTCTTTACACCCCAGAACAATGTGGTGGCACACGCCGTTAGGCAGAGGCAGGCATATCCCTGAGTTCAAGGCCAGCCTGTCCTACAGAGTGAGTTTCAGGACAACCAACGCTACACAGAGAAACCCTGTCTTGGAAAACAAAACAAAAATGTTCATGTGCCCAACTTAAAGCTTTTGCCTACTTTATAAGATAATAAAGGGTAAAAACAAATAAAAATAGATTTTTCTTTCTAATATGAAATTTTCCTTGGTTAAAAAGAAAAAAAAAAAAAGAATCATTTTTGAGTCAGGCAGCCCTAGCTGTGTAGTAGCCCAGGCTAGCCTTGAATTCCATCCTTTTGCCCCCAAGTTCCTGGTGCTGAGATTATCCATGTGGGCTTGTGAGGCCCTTTGACTTATTTAAGATACAGGTAACCTTGGAAACACTGTTTATAGCTAGGGCCCACACAGGGTTTCTACTGTCTCATTTGAATGCACGGCCCCAGACTGAACTCTTTGACAGCTTTTCTCTTTTGCTGTAATAACGTTATTTCTTCTGCCTGTGGGCTCTAGGGGCCACTTAGAAGATGTGTGCGATATTTGCTGGGCAAATGATGGGACTCTGATGGCCTCTGCCTCTGTGGATAACACAGTTATCATATGGGATGCCAGCAAAGGTGAGCGGAGAATCTGTCAGAATTAGGCATGTGTGCATGTATGCGTGTATGTGCACACACATGCAGCATCTCGGAGTCCAAACTAGGTTGCCGGGTCCCCTGGAGCTCCAGTTACAGGGAACTAACTGTAAGGCTCCCAGGCTGGGTACTGGGAGCCACCAAACCTGGGTCTTGTGCAAGAGCAGTAAGTGCTGGGACCTGCCAAGCTTCAGACCAAATGGTCTGTCTACTTTTGCTACGGTGAGGAGGAGAGAAATGTCAGGTAGGGACGGACGCTGTGTGGGGAGCGATTTTAGTAGAACCTGGAATTAAGGCCTTATCGAAGCTCTCCATCATCTAATTGTGTCAACCTCAGTGACGCGTCCCTCTCCTGCCTCCTCCTGTTCACCAAAGCCACTACTGGAGAGCCCCTCCTTCCCCAGAACACTCAGGTCCCAGAGTCCTCAGTTTCTGGTGTGTTACTCCCTTTCTTGGTTCCTGTTCTATTTTCTCTGATAAGACACCATGACCAAGGCAACTTAGGAAAGAAAGTGTTTCATTTGGTACTCATGATTTCGGCGGGTTAGAGTCCATGCCTGTCGTGGTGGGGAGTAGGGCGGGAGGCATGGCCCTGGAACCACACTGGAGCACTGGAGAGCTTCCATCTTACTGTACAACCATGAAACAGACGGGGAGAGCCAGCTAACTGGAAATGGCATAGGCTTTTAAAACCCAGAATCTACCCCCAGTGACATCCCTTTTCCAGCAAGGCCACACCTCCTAATCCTTCCCAAACAGTGTCACCAACTGGGGGCCAAACATTCAAATACATATAAGCTAGGGGGCCATTCTCATCCTCTGGCCTGTTGTTTTCTGTCTAGCTTGCCTCCCAGGGTGATCTTAAATCATCAGTCTGTCCCTTTGGACCCTTCCATTCCTTTGGAGACAAACCCCAGCCTGAATCCCTGTTGCATTCCACCTTTAAATTTCCCAGCCCTGGCCTCGAGCCCGTTGCTTAAACCTGTGCACTCGCCAGGCGCGTCCTCATGCTCCTCCTAGCTTTACTTGAGATCCACACAGGCCCCCTTGAGCGCTCCTCTCAGTCCTCAGCTGCCTTAATCCCAGCCTACTTCCTGGAAAGGCTTTCAAGGAGAGAGATGCTCTCCAGTGGAGTAAGGAGGACAGCACATTAGAATCAGGCTGACGCAGCCTGGTGGCGGTAATATGCATCCCCTGGGGCTGCCTTGGACCATCACCAAGATGCCACCATGAACGTCCTTCAAAGCCAGTCGTGGCAATGTGCCCCTTCAATCCCAGCACTTGGGAGGCAGAGGCAGGCCGATCTCTGTGAGTTTGAGGCCAGCCTGGCTTATGAGTTCCAGGACGATCACACAGAGAAACTGTCTGGGGCAGGTGAAGCATGTCCCCCGTGCCGTGTGGGTCACGGGCACTGGATTAGCAGTGTTGGCGGGTGGTGGCTGTGGGAAATTTGGTGGCAGCGGCATGGCTGAGAGGAGGGGAAGGAAGTGAAAGGTGGGAAATGAAGGGTAGACCACTTTTTGGAGGAGGTTTTCTCTCCCACCCCTCTCAGGGATTAGACCCACAACCTTGGGCTTGCTTTTTTATTTGCTTTCAAATAGTTAAAGCCTTTGAATGGTAACTTGAATTATTAAATGTTGCATAATTTGAGTGATGTAGACTAGTCTGAGTGGACTGAATTTGGGGGCCAGTCTGTAGTTAAAGCTTGGTAACGGTTTTCCTTTAGTCCAGGAGAGCTCTGTGCGGCCAGCTTTAGCCACTGAATACCCATATTAGCCTCTCCAGCTCCAGCCTCCTCCTCCCTTCTGTGTCTGTGACCTAAGCAGTGACTCTCTCTGTCCTATTTTCTAAACTTCAGATTATTGGTTTGAATTTTTTGAGACAGGGTCTCAGGTAGCCTGGGGTGTCTTGAAACTCTTTGTAAACCAAGGCTAGTCCTGGACCCTGGGTGCCCCCTGCCTCCTCCCAAGTAGTCACAGGTGTGCCCTGGACCCTGGGTGCACACTGCCCACTCCCAAGTAGTCACAGGTATGCACCGCCACATTTGGCTTCAGCTTTCTCTCTGGAACCCAGAACCTTTCCCAGCTCTGGATCTTCCTGGCTTGTTCCTCACCCACAAAGCTCTCTAACTGTACTGTGGCTCCTTCTCCTCGTTTTGTCCCTGACTCCTGTCTTCTCTGCCGAAGTTCCCAGTTACCGCCACCACTCAGCTGTGGCAGGGTGGGGGGATTCTCTCATCCCGTCCCCCCATCTTTACCCAACCCAGAGAACTCAACTCGGGTCTCTGACTGTTCACACCTACCTCCTCTGACCCACAGAGCCTTACACTTGCTGTAAACACCTGAGGGTTGTGATCTGAGGGCAGGGCTGTGTGGAGTGATCTTTGGGTCTTTTGAGTCTGACACAGAATTTGGAACACAGCCTCTCTGGGGCTGGCTGCGGAATGGTGGGTCGGAATGAGGCGATATTGTGGAAGTCTTAGTTCATTCAGTGTGCTTCTCAGGTGTCTTGATAACGCTTCTGTGTGCTTCTTGGTAGGACAGAAAATTTCCATTTTCAACGAGCATAAAAGCTACGTACAAGGAGTTACCTGGGACCCTTTGGGTCAATATATTGCGACCCTGAGTTGCGACAGGTATGTAAGTAACAGGGCAATTTCTGCATATATCTTATCACGACTTCACTGAGGGCATTGACAGTCCAGTTTTGGCTCTTTGGCTCTTGTTTTGCTTATTCCAGCAATAAGACAGGAATTAGAGACCAACTAGGCCAGGCACCTTACATAGCGCTGACACCAGTGAATCACTATGGATGTAGAAAGAGCTTGTGTGTTTCCCTGCATGTGTACCCAGGCACCCTGTGTGTGCTTGGTGCTCTTGGAGGCCAGAAGAGGGCACTAACAGTGCGAGCTGTCAGTGCTGGGAACAAATGGAGTCCTCTACAAGAGCAATGCATGCACCTAGTCACTGAGCCATCTCTCTACCCCATCAGAAAGAGCTTTTTAGCATCAAACAAACCGAGTCACACTGGATTTCAAGGAGACAAACTTAATAAAGGTAGTGGGTGGACTGAGATGTTTATTTCACATTGTTGTTTTCAGTGCTGGGGATCAAACACAGAACTTTTGGTGCTAGACCAGCACCCCACACTTCACAGTTTACTGCTGTAGTGGCTTTTATATAATTTTTTTGGTTTATTTATTTTATGTGTGTGAATGTTCGGCTGCATGTATGTATATGTACCACATGCATGCCCACAGGAAGTCAGAAAACAGTTGTCAAATCCTCTGAAACTGGAGTTACAGATGGTTGTGAGCCACCATGTGGGTGCTGGGAATTGAATCTGGACACTCTGAAAGAGCAGCCAGTGCTCTTAACCACTGGGCCCTCTCTCCAGCCCCAAGTTGGCTCTTTTTTTTGTTGTTTTTTTTGTTTGTTTGTTTTTTCAAGACAGGGTGTCTCTGTATTGTTTTGGAGGCTGTCCTGGAACTCGATTGGTAGACCAGGCTGGCTTCCAACTTACAGAGATCCACCTGTCTCTACCTCCGGAGTGCTGGGATTAAAGGTGTGGGCCACCAACCCTTTGTTGGTTCTTTGAAACAATGTTTCATGTAGCCTAGGCTGGCCTCAAACTTTCCATGTAGCCAGGGCTGTCTTTGAACTTCACATCCTCTGGCCTCTACCTCCGGGGTGCTAGGACTTCTGCTAGATCCAGCACGCTGGGTTTTGTGTTGCTGGGGACAGAACACAGGCTCCAGGCATGGTGGGTTAACATTCGGGCAATTGAGCTACATCTGCAGTCCTCAACTGCTTTTAATTTAAAAACTGAACTCAATATGGCCCTGAAATAAGAGCAATATCTGCCGTGCACTTTCCGATGTCTCATTGAGGCACATGAGAAAGAACAGGTTGGTTAGTGGGAACACTGACTTGGGGGCAAGATTCCTTCATTGGCATTTCCATTCTTGCCCTCTTAGGGGACGAGGGGAGTACAGCCACGCCTTACTGATCCTCCTGCCCCAGCCTCCTAATGTCTTACTCTATAACCAAGGCTGGCTTTAAACTCATGGTGACTCTCCTGCCTCACCTTCCATGTGCTGGAATTGCAGGTGTGAGTTACTGTATGTGGCATTCCTTACACTAGAAAGCTCTGCAAGCAAGACTGTCCACACAAAACAAATCTCACGGTAGTCATATGTGTTGCTTTTGGGCCAAATATAATGGCTCAAAAATTAGAACTGCACCTTCCTCATGTGAGGAGCAGAATAATTTTATTCAGTGAGAAATAAGGTAGGGAAATGAAGTGAAAATAAGTCTGCATCACATTTCCCCATTGTGGCATACTTAGGTGCTTCCTGCTGAACTCCTCAGTGAAGTCTAGTGGTCCAAACAGTTCAGCTGAAGCCGCGTGGCATGCACAGATGGGCAGTAGGCTATTACTGTGTGAGATCTGGTTCCTGTGTCCAATGGAACTTAGACTTCTCTTTCTCCAGAGTGCTTCGGGTCTATAGCACCCAGAAGAAGCGTGTGGCTTTCAACATTTCAAAGATGCTATCTGGACCAGGGTCTGAAGGAGAGGTAGGAAGTACTTTTTATTATAATTTCATCTGTATGCGGGCACATGTCACAGTGTGCCACATTTGAAGGTCAGAAGTCGGTTCTCTCAGGCCACTGTGTGGATCCAGGGATGCATTTCAGGTCAACAGGCTTGGCAACAAGTGCTGTTTACCCCCTGAACCATTTCACCAGCCCAGTATAAAATATTTTGCCATTCCCTTTTAATGGTACTTTGAGGTCTGGAGACTCCTAACCCTTGCAAACACCTAATTTCACAAACCAGCTAATGAGGCTTCCTCCTTGACTGCCTTATTGGCTGACCAGGTCTTATAAATTATTTAATTTTGTCTTCCTGGGTAATTATTCCTGATGGGTGTGCTTTGGTTCTCAACATGCCAGTTCTAAGCGATTAGCCTTTATGAAGAGTGAATGACTTCAAGCTCTGTCTACACAGGCAAGAAGTTTCCGGATGTTTCACGATGACAGCATGAAGTCATTCTTCCGTAGACTCAGTTTTACACCAGATGGATCTTTGCTTCTCACTCCAGGTGTGTGTGACAAAGAGGTGTGTTAGCAACACGGGATGTCTGTATTCTCATTTGTGACACTTTTCAGCTCTGACAAGTGTGAGCAGAGCAGTGTTGCCTTGTCTGCACCCTGGAACATCAGACACAGTTGGGGAACTTGAGACGCAATCATCTTGGCCCTTGGATGATGTGATGGTTTTGATGTTCACTAAAGTTTGGGAGTGGAAAGGCTTGGAGCGGTATTTCTTCTAAGATGAATTTTACTTAGAAGAGTCTTAGTACTTAAACGTTCGCACGCATCTGTCCTAATTTTGGTTTGTTTATTCACTCACCCCAGGCAGACCTGGAATTCACTAGGTATCTGGGGATGACTTACAACTCCACCTTGCGTTCTCCACCCCCAGGTGCTGCACTAATACACCTGCTTTAAACAGTGCTGGTACTTGAAACCAGGACCTCAAGGATTCTACCAACTGAGCTACATCTCTAGCCCAGAGCTTGTTTTGTTTTTCTCTGTGTCATGCATGGTCTTGTGTAGCTCTGGTTAGCCCTGGACTTGTTAGGTAGCTGAGAATGATCTTGAATTTCTGATCCTCCCCTCTCTGATTTCCGATTGCTGGGGTTACAGGCGTGTTCTGCCAGGCCTGGCTCTGAATGTTTCACTTTCATATGGTAAAGGTGTAGCAGGCTGTGTCAGTGGACACATGATGAGGTGGCGTCTGGTGCTTTTGATACAATGTATGCTGTCTTCTCCATTGGCAAGAAAACAAAACACTAAAGAAGAGAGCCCTAAAGAACTGGATGTAGCTCATTGGTCAAGTGCCTGCCTAACGTGTGAGGCTCTGAGATCAACCCTTGGCACCATAAATAAATAGAGTAATGAAGGAAGGTTATAGATTGTATCCAAGAACAGGTTCTGATGCCCAGGAACAGCAAATGCAGAATTGAGCTGTCCTGACATTTAGATGTTGCTGTTGTCTTCAGACTGGAAAAAGTAACAGTTGCCATTACTGCTGGGCAGGACCTGGGTCCTAGGAATGCAGCTTGTTAGTGTGTTTCGAATGCAGCCTGCTAACAGTTAAGGACATCCAATCCCTGTGTCTCACTTCTGAGACAGTTCCTTAGCAAGGAAATGCGTAGGAATTTCTAGGCGTGTGTGTCAGGCCACATGGGGTGGCACTTGGCTGCAGTTCAACACTTGGTGTTGGGAGGCGGAGGTGGGAGAACCAGGAGTTCAAGCTCATCATCCTTGGCTGTATAGTGAGTTCGAGACCACCCTGGGAGGCATGAGATCCTATCTCAAACAAACATCTCAAAACCAAGCAAATAAAAGCAACCAACCTTCCCCTCCAAACCAAAAAAACCTAACGCCCCCAAATCAGTACCTCTCAACAGAGGAGAGTAGTTTTCTACTAGTAAATATTGTGGCACAACCACAAAAGGCTTTAGTGCCTGTGCTGACTTAGGAGCTGTTGACAGGGCAAGTGTAAGTCTCTGTATCTTATGGCAAACACACTGGAAAGACCACCCGTGGAAGTGTGTGTGCCTGAGCTGTGATGAACGATTACATGCACCCAGGGGACAGGACCGGCATTGGTCTGTCACAGTAAGGTAGTGGCGAGAGGTGGGCAGGGAGGAACGTCCTCCCTTGTAGTTCTAGCATGGCTGGTTACATGCTAGATGGCATGCATGTGTGTTTTATACCATGTGACAGTCAGGTTCTGCAGGAGGCTGCAGGTCGCAGCATGGGCTGGGTCTCTGAACAACCCCAGGGCGGGTTTGAGAGGCGGACAGCTAAGATGTGAATTCTGGGAACAGACCTGAAGGCTCTCAGGCAGAACTGGCAGCAGGGTCCGGCCACAGGGCTCCGTCAGCTGCATCTGCCTCTGCTCTCAAGCACAGGGTTTCACCAGTCAACTCTCCTGGCTCTACATTTTTCCTGCCCTGGCTTCAAGGGGCCGGGGGGCCCCCAGGGGAGGTGGCAGGCAGGTGGACCTGGAGCAGAGTGGGACCAGACAACGGGGACATTTGTGTTTGTTTCTGTCACAGAAGCATTGTCAGTTTACCACGTGAGGGGGAGAATATTTGGAAGCCAGACTGGACGGCTTGAGGTCTTTTGCTGGGAAACAGTATAACCAGGTCTCTTTCCTCCCTCCCCCTGCTCCCCAGCTGGATGTGTGGAATCTGGTGAAAATGTGACAAACACAACGTATGTGTTCTCCAGAAAACACCTGAAAAGGTATGCAGCTGAAGAAGTGTCTCGAAGTGTCTCAGTTTTGCCCTGGCCGAGCCTCAGGGCCTGTTGCTAACCTGTGGTCCACCTTGCAGGCCGATTGCCCACCTACCGTGTCCCGGGAAAGCAACCCTGGCTGTCCGCTGCTGTCCCGTCTACTTTGAGTTGAGGCCAGTGCCAGAAACAGGTATCATCAGAACCACAGCGTGTGGGGTGTGTATGCTTTCTCTCTGGAGTAGGGACTTGGTGGCTGTCTTGTGGAGAAAGCTGTGCGGATTTGGCTCCGATTTATTTATTTATTTATTTATTTATTTTGGCTTTTCGAGACAGGGTTTTTCTGTGGCTTTGGAGGCTGTCCTGGAACTCACTCTTTAGACCAGGCTGGCCTTGAACTCACAGAGATCCGCCTGCCTCTGCTTCCCGAGTGCTGGAACCAAAGGTGTGTATCACCATTGCCCGGCTAATTTTGTTCATTTTACATGTAGAAATGATGTCTTTCTGGGGCATCCTATGATGTTTCAGTGTGCCTGTAATGAAATGTTTAAATCAGGGTGTGTCTTGTATCTTCATCATTTACGTTTGCTGTGAAGACGTCAAGAGTCCGTCCCATAGCCTTTTGGACACAGGCATATTCCTTCCTAGTGTCCTGTGACGCACAGCGTGCCTTTCTTCTCATTGTCCAGAATGTGCTTTATCATCTACAGCAACGCTAAGAATACTTGCCGGTAGTGGTGGCGCACGCCTTTAATCCTAGCACTCGGGAGGCAGAGGCAGGCGGATCTCTGTGAGTTTGAGGCCAGCCTGGTCTACAGAGTGAGTTCCAGGGCAGGCTCCAAAGTCACAGAGAAACCCGGTCTCAAAAAAACAACAACAAAAAGAATACATTAGTACTAACTAGTTTCATTTTGTTTTTCCACTAGGCTTTTTGTTATTTGGCTTTTTGAGGCAGGGTCTTAGGGTCCTGGGGATCGAACTCACATTGGCAGGCTCGGTAGCAGTTGCCTTTACACCTGATCCATCTCGCCAGCCCAGGAACTAAATTCTCTGTACAGCTTATAGTAAACCAGCTTTCAGTGACACGGTATATATTCTTCCAAATCTGGGGGGGGGACTGGTTCTCTCCCCTGGGAACTCAGTTTCTGTGGCTTCAGCCAGCTTGTCCTCTCCCTACAGAGAGAGCATCAGAGGAGCCCAGCCCCGAGCTGGTGAGCCTGCCCTACCGTATGGTGTTTGCCGTGGCCTCCGAAGACTCTGTGGTGCTGTATGACACACAGCAGCCTTTCCCATTTGGCTATGTGTCTAACATCCATTACCATACCCTGAGTGACATCTCCTGGTGAGTAGCTAAAAGGCACAGGATACGGAGGAGGTAGTGGCCTCTGTTTTACTAGACGGACCTCTGAGCCAGGGAATGTAGGGGAAGCTGTAGCCACGCCTTCTTAGGGGCTGGCTACAGGAGTACCTGAGCAGGCTGGTGAGGGCGTGATCAGAGTGAGTAGGGGGACTGTGTTTCGGTTTCGGTTTCTCTCTCTTTGTTTCTTGCTGTACAGACTACCACCGGCTGGCTGGTTCGCTCTGTAAGTAAGGCTTTTCCCTATTAAATACCCTTATATTTCTACCTGACTCCTTTTTGATGACAAATATAGGAGAATTCCAAAGATTCTTCTATATGTCCAGCATCTAGCTGTTCCTGTACTAACTTTTTTAAAGCCTCTAGCTTCTCAGAGGTCATAGGCCATTGTCCTACCCAAACTGGTTCATCTGTAAGCCACTTCAATGGCAGGGCCTTTGGATCCTCTGAAGGTCCATCATTTGTACCTAGTTTCTGTACAGCATGGATGGTTGGTAACCATTTTCTGAGGCCAAGACTTTTGAGTAATAATAGTTACATCCGCCCCAGTGTCCACTAAGCCAGAAATAACTTTATTATTAATTTTCACTTTTAACTGAGGCCTTTTATCATTAATAGAAGCTTGCCAAAATATGCGTTTCTCATTTTGTCCATTCACACTTGATTCTTTATCACTATTCAAACTATCATCTAGAGCAATATCTTTTTTCACAATAGGCAAAGAACTATCTATTGTTCCTGTGAGAGATTGTCTTCCACTGCTATTGGGAATGACCTGACCTTTCTCGATGTGGGGGCCTTCTTGAGGCCCCCCTCGGGGTTTCCCGACCTTAAGGGGTTTCCTTGCATGTCCCTGGTCTATCTACATTCATTGGTCCAGTGTCTGACCTTACCACATCTTCTACACAATCCAGAAGGCAGTGGCCTTCCGTATGAGGCATTGTTAGAATTCATTTGTCTACAATTTCTCTTAGTATGTCCCATTTTACCACAGTTGAAACATCTAGGTTCATCTGACACCAGATATGGTAGAAAATTACCAATACAAAGTCAGGTAGAAATATAAGGGTATTTAATAGGGAAAAGCCTTACTTAAAGAGCAAACCAGCCAGCCGGTGGTAGTCTGTACAACAAAAAACAAAGAGAGAGAAACCAAAACCAAAACACAGTCCCCCTACTCACTCTGACCACGCCCTCACCAGCCTGCTCAGGTACTCCTGTAGCCAGCCCCTAAGAAGGCGTGGCTACAGCTTCCCCTACAAGGGAATGTTGTCTCCACACTAAATCTCCAATTTGAAGGAACTTCTATTAAAATGGGAGCCATTTTTGTTACTTGTGTGTGTGTGTGTGTGTGTGTGTGTGTGTGTGCGCGCGTTTGTGTGCATACATGTGCCATGGCATGCGTGTGAACATCAGAGGGAAACTTGCAAGAGTCTGTTCTCTCCTTCTACATGGGTTCTAGGGATCTGAACTCAGATCATCTGGCTTGTACACACTCTGACTTGACGAGCTGCCTCTCTGCCCAGAAATGAGTTCTGGCACCATGCACACAGCCCTGTGGAGTCAGTCAAATTCTAGTAAGCTGAGGTGAAGCCCTGGGGACTTGTTGGTCAAAGAACTCACTGCCAGTATCACTGACACTGCCATTATTCTGACGCCCCAGGTCCCTGCAGACTCCATTGCCTTGGGCTGTCCCTGTACTCTAGCAAGGCTGGTCCCTCACCCTTGTTTCTTGCCCCTCCTGCCAGCACCATGTAGCTTAGGGCGGCCTCAACTCTGCTCTGTGCTGGAGGACAACCTTGAACCCTGATGCCCCAGCTGCCTCTTTCCGTGTGCTGGGATGAGAGGTGTCTGTCCACAAGCCCACTTCATGCTTGATACTGAACCCAGGGCCTCGAGCACACTCACAAGAACTCTACCAACTGAACTATCTCTGTAGGGCCTTTGCTTTTCTCTAAATTTCTTTATATAATTTTTTTTTTATTTAGTATGGTGGGGGGGTTGGTATGTGCCCTGGCTCACATGGAGGTCAGAGGACATCTTTGTAGACTCCTGCTGCCTGGCATAGCTCCCAGGAGTTGGGCTATGTCCTCGCCTTTACTGACTGAGCCGTCTCACTGGCCCTAACTGTGTTCTTTATGTTGGGAAAAGACAAGATCACTTCACGTTTATGCAGGTGAAGTTGATAGGGCACGTAGATCCAGGTCGCTTTGGAGACTGAGATGGGCTTGGGAAAGAACACTACATGCCTGAAGAGCTTGTTCAAACCGTCTGTTGTGCCGTTGACCTGACTGTTGCCTTCAAACAAACACAGCTTGTGATTGGCTCCAGCTACTTGGTCATGGAAGCGTGAGTGTGATTTGTAGACATCAGTAACTGACTTCTTTCTTGTTCTGGGAACACAGGTCCAGTGACGGAACCTTCCTGGGCATCTCCTCCACGGATGGTTATTGCTCCTTTGTGACCTTTGAGAAGGGTGAACTTGGCATACCTCTGAAAGAGAAGCCGGTTTTGAACATAAGAACCCCTGATACAGCAAAGAAAACCAAGAGCCAGACACACCAGGGGTCTTCGCCAGGACCCAGATCCGCCGAAGGAACCCCCACCTGCAGACTTCAAGACCCCAGCAGTCCCAGCACCACCCCCTCACCAACAACACAGTCTCCAGCTCCATCTGCCATTAAGGACAGTCCCTCAGCCACCCCTGCTGGCAAAAGCCCCTTGCCACGGCCTCCTGAGGAGAAGACCCTGCAGCCTGCTAGTCAAAACACAAAAGCTCCCCAACCCCAGAGGGTGACACTCAACACGCTACAGTTCTGGGGCAAGACACCCCCCCGGTAAGAGCATTTGACAAAACAAGAAAAGTGTGGTTGTGAAATGAGCTCCTCCCAACATAGCAAATACTGAAGGTGCCACCCCACCCCCTTCCAGATCTGTATTTCCTACCCAAGGGTAAAGCCTAGCTTCTGCCTTTGGTGTCCCCCGTGATGTGTGCTGAGCGGCCCCCTCCACCCGTGATGTGTGCTGGGTGGTCCCCTCCACCCGTGATGTGTTCTGGGTGGTCCCCTCCACCCGTGATGTGTTCTGGGTGGTCTCCTCCACCCGTGATGTGTTCTGGGTGGTCCCCTCCACCCGTGATGTGTTCTGGGTGGTCTCCTCCACCCGTGATGTGTTCTGGGTGGTCCCCTCCACCCGTGATGTGTTCTGGGTGGTCTCCTCCACCCGTGATGTGTTCTGGGTGGTCCCCTCCACCCGTGATGTGTTCTGGGTGGTCTCCTCCACCCGTGATGTGTTCTGGGTGGTCCCCTCCACCCGTGATGTGTTCTGGGTGGTCTCCTCCACCCGTGATGTGTTCTGGGTGGTCCCCTCCACCCGTGATGTGTGCTGGGTGGCCCCCTCCACCCGTGATGTGTGCTGGGTGGCTTGCTGTTCGGTCCTGGATCTTTTCCTCTAAGTCTGGTGTGCCTTGTCTCCTGACTCTGCTATTGTGTTTCTGAGCACGCTCTGCCCTTTGAGGTCTCTGTGCCTGCTTCCTGGGGAAGCCTTGCATACTTGCTCCAACTAGAATCTTGTTGAAACCCATTTGAATGTGTCCTCTGTCGTCTTGGCCCTGTGACCTCTGACCCCGGTAGTGTTCTCTGGCAGGGTTTGTTTCCTCTTAGGTTATAAGAAGGAACCAGTGTCCCCGTATTCCCCTCAAGGGCACCCTCAGTGACCTGACCTCCCTCCTATAACACCACAGCCCAGGGACCTTCTGCATGGGCCTTTCAGTAGGCTCTCCACACCATTGCAGGCACTTTCCTTTGTAAACATTGAGTCTTATATTTATTTATTTCAAATGGAAACAGGGTCTCATGGAGCCCAAGCTAATCTGGAACTTTCCTCAGTCCTCCCGTCCTGTCCTCCTGAGAGCTAGGGTCATCTAGTTTATGTACTGCTGGGGACTGACCCCAGGGCTGAGTCCATGCTAGGCAAGTACCCTGCCAAGTGAACTGTATCCCCAGCCCCTTATTTCATTTTGATTAGTACATTATAACCATACGTTCCCATGAGACACATGTTTTGTTTTTTTTCCAGACAGGGTTTATCTGTGCAGCTCTGGCTGTCCTAGAACTCACTCTATAGACCAATCTAGCCTTGAACTCACAGAGATCCGCCTGCCTCTGCCTCCCGAGTGCTGGGATTAAAGGCGTGTGCCCCCGCACCCAGCACATTATGGTATTTTGGTATGCATGTCCATTGTGTATGGGTCAGGTCGGGTCATTTAGCATTTCCATCCATAAGCGTATTCTCTCACACACTTCCCTGCTGCTAACCGTGTTACTCTGCTGTGCACCCAGGCACCTCAGCCTACTCCTTGTCTAGCAGTGACACTGGGCCACTTGCTGACCTTCTCTCGTCCCTCCTCTTACTCCAACCCCCATAATAGTTACAGTCTATACCAGAGCAATCCAGGGATGGCACCCACCTGCAGGCACTTGGGAGACTGAGACAGAAGGACCCTGAGTTTGGGGTACCCTGGACCACATGATAAGTTCCAGACCAGCTTGAGTTCATATAAGACCCTGTCTCAGTCCCCCATTCCCACCCCTCAAGAACAATCCATGAGGAGAGCAATCCCTCATCTGGGGGAGACCTGTGCTTGCACTCAGCATGTTCTCCGGGCTCCAATTCAAGGGTTCCCTCTTTTGTGGCTGAGTAGCACTGCTGTATGCAGATCTTCCTGAGCTGCTTGGCTGTGGGGCACTGATGGGCTGGGGCCTCCCAGGGCTGCCCTGGCCACAGCTGTCTGCTAGCATGCCTTCATGCCAGCATCTCCTACTGCAAGCAGCTGCTGTCTGCATCCTTCTGCACGGGGAATGCCAGCCTGGGTTTCCCCTTCCTTCAGCTTCAGTACCCAGTTAACGCCTGAAGCTCTGCTGTCGGCTCTACCTGTCTCCCTTTCTTCCTGTCCTCTGTAGGCTCAGTGAGGTATGGGCTGATAAGATGGATTCCCCCCTCCTTGCCTCCCAGTCTCCTGCTGTGAATTCATAATACAATTTAAATACAATGTTTGGCTCTTTTAAAATCTGTTTTCTATAGAATAAGAATGCACTTTTAAAAACACGTGTGTGTTCGTGTGCACATGTATACACATACTTGTGCATGTGACTTTGGAGGCTAGAAAAGGACGTCAGGTCACCTAGACACCCTGACAATACTGGGAACTTGGGTCCTCTGGCAGGGCAGCAAAGACTCCTAATGGCTAAACCATCCCCCCAGTACCACACATGGTGGATTTTCCCTCCTCTCTTTGGTGTTTTGAAGCAGGGTCTCACCATGTAGCTCTGACTGACCTGGCACTCGCTCTGGAGACCAGGCTGGCCTCGAACTCACAGAGATCCGCCTACCTCGCTTCCCAAGTGCTGGGATTAAAGGCATGTGCCACCACCAGGCACAAGATGTGATTTTTAATATTCTGTGTCTTTTAAGTGTGGGAAGGCAATCTTCGAGATACTTTTGGTGTTTAAACTGCTTCTCTTGATTTCTCTTGAGCCATTAGCCAAGTTCTCTGCAGTTGTAACTTAAAAAAAGAAAACACTAGTTGTTGGGAAGCAAAACTCTGAATTTAAACATGGATCACGTGTGTTTTGGGTTCACATTCTGCAAGCTGTGCACCAGACTCCTAACCAACAGAGCTCAGTTTTTGAACCTTGGGTGACTGGTTATGGTGGCCATTAACTATGAACTGTGATGGCAGAGCCTCCCATGGGAACATTGTCCTCACTGGTCATGGCAGCACATCATGACATTTAAGGCCCTCTAGATATGCTCTTTGGGAAAACCTATGCATTTCCTTTGGTGGGTTTGAAACTGAGCTTCATACCTAAACAGTTCCTCTGACACTAAGGAGCAGTGTAACCCTTTTCCTTTTTTTAATCAAGGAGAATAAACTTAACGCCGTTAAAGGCAGACACTGCGCCAAGTCCCCTGCCCACCGGTGGAACCACCACCCCCTCCACAGAAGAGACGGAGCCAGGTAAGGGGACTTTTGCAGCTTTGGTGGATATTTCACAGATAGGATGCTTTTGTTCTTTTGGAAGTTAACACCTCCTAACTTTAGGTCAACTCTGAGAAGGCCAGTGTCTTATTGGGACCATCCTTTGGATATACAGGTGGCTGTTTGTCTTCCCAGGAGTGAAGTGTCCGTTGTATTGGACAGTAGCAACTCCTGGGGGGATGGCTCTCTCTGCTTCATGCCAGCTGATATCTGGGGCAGATGAGTGGTACTGTAGAGGGCTTAATAACATCTCTGATGCCACCTTTAAGAAAAAAAATTATGTGCACTGATGTCTTGCCTACATGTATGTCTGTGTAAATGTGCCAGATCCCCTGGAACTGGAGTTAAGACAATTGTGAGCTTCCGTATGGGTGCTGGGAACCTGGAAGAACAGCCAGTGCTCTTAACCGCTGAGCCATCTCTCCTGCCCCCACCTTATGCCGCCTCTTACCCTGTCACAGACACGGCCTGCCTCTTTTACCCTGTCACAGGCACAACCTATCTCTTACCCTGTCACAGACACGACCTGCCTCTTAACCTTGTCACAGACACGGCCTGCCTCTTACCCTGTCACAGACACGACCTGCCTCTTAACCTTGTCACAGACACGGCCTGCCTCTTACCCTGTCACACACACGGCCTGCCTCTTACCCTGTCCCAGACACGACCTGCCTCTTACCCTGTCACAGACCCGGCCTGCCTCTTTTACCCTGTCACAGGCACAACCTATCTCTTACCCTGTCACAGACACGACCTGCCTCTTAACCTTGTCACAGACACGGCCTGCCTCTTACCCTGTCACACACACGGCCTGCCTCTTACCCTGTCACAGACACGACCTGCCTCTTAACCTTGTCACAGACACGGCCTGCCTCTTCCCCTGTCACAGACACGACCTGCCTCTTAACCTTGTCACAGACACGGCCTGCCTCTTCCCCTGTCACAGACACGACCTGCCTCTTAACCTTGTCACAGACACGGCCTGCCTCTTCCCCTGTCACAGACACGACCTGCCTCTTAACCTTGTCACAGACACGGCCTGCCTCTTCCCCTGTCACAGACACGACCTGCCTCTTAACCTTGTCACAGACACGGCCTGCCTCTTCCCCTGTCACAGACACGACCTGCCTCTTAACCTTGTCACAGACACGGCCTGCCTCTTCCCCTGTCACAGACACGACCTGCCTCTTAACCTTGTCACAGACACGGCCTGCCTCTTCCCCTGTCACAGACACGACCTGCCTCTTAACCTTGTCACAGACACGGCCTGCCTCTTCCCCTGTCACAGACACGACCTGCCTCTTAACCTTGTCACAGACACGGCCTGCCTCTTCCCCTGTCACAGACACGACCTGCCTCTTACCCTGTCACAGACCCGGCCTGCCTCTTACCCTGTCACAGACACGGCCTGTCTCTTACCCTGTCACAGACACGACCTGTCTCTTGACATGCGATCACCTTGGCTAAAAACCACCGCTGTAGATCTGTTCCTTGTGACAGCTCTGGATCTCACCAGGCCATCCGTCCCTCTTCATGCCTCTGTATTTCATGTTAGCTGACCTGACTCACCCTCCCTGCTTGCTAACCTAACGTCTGTTAATGTTTCAGTGATGCCTGGAAAGCCCCAGGGGGAGCCTCCCGAACTGAAGAGGCCCCGACTTCAGGACCAGGAAGGAGGCGCCCAAACCCTGGGCTCTGATGAGGCCTCCAAGTCTGCTTGAGGCCTGCTGAGTCCCAGCACCCGTGTGTGCAGGAGTCAAGGCCCAAGACGCCAAGGCTGGTTACAGTGATATCAGAGCAGAATAAACACCCACAAATCGATTCATGGTAGAAAAATGTGTGCTGACTTTGCTCAAGCAGCCCGAGTACCCATGTTCTATCACCCCTTTCCACAGGGACTCTGGTGCTAGGCTAATGCCTCTTTTTTTTTAGTTTTTTTCTGTGTGTCCCTGGCTGTCCTGGAACTTGCTCTGTAGACCAGGCTGGCCTCCAACTCACAGAGATCCGCCTGCCTCTGCCTCCTGAGTGCTGGGATTAAAGGCGGGTGCTACCAACACCCTGCTAACACCTCTTTTTGATGAGTTTCTGAGACAGGAAAGTTGATCTGCACTTGAGTCCCTTCTCTCGAGGGACTTCACACACTTGGGTGCTGAGCTAACCACAAATAAGAAATTCTAGTGGAAGCATGCAGTACTCCCAATGGCCACTGGAGGTCACTCTGCCCCCTGAATCTGCTCAGAGGACTTGAGGCTGTCCTGCTTGGCCTTGTAGCAGTTAAGGCCAGAGTGGTCTCACCCACCACCAGCTTAAGGCCCCAGTGGCCAGACCTAGACACATATGAGAGGATTATGGGTGGAATGTGTGAATGCTCATTGCTGCATTTGTCCTTTATTCTAGGGGTGTGTGGTGTGTGTGTGATCCCTGTGTGCATGTAGAGGTTAGAGAGCAGAGTTCTCTTGGTTCTCTTTTGACAGTGTGGGCCTTGAGAATTGAACTCAGGTTTCCAGACTTGGCAGCAGCACCTTTGCCTACTGAGCCTTCTCAGCAGCCCGAGTGGTGGTTGAGGCAGCGTGTCCTGCCTGGAATGTACCGTCCTCACACTGGCAGAGCCTGGGCTCTCCTCCTGTCTGGGCTCTGGAAGGAGGTGTGAAGAGTGTGAACACATGCTAAGGAGTGCTCAGCACTGATCTCCCAGGGTGCTTGTTTCTGAGTACACAGCTGACTTGGCCTCTCCAGCTTGGCGTTGTCCTCAAAGGCATCTCCAGTGGGGTTCACTTCAAGTCAAGACCTTTGTTTGACCTTGGGGAGAACAGGAATTTGGGGGTCAGAAGTGGGGTCCTGGCAGCACCCCTTCCTTTCTTCCCTCTCATTCCCCACCCCTACCCTATGGATCTGGTGGCAGCCCCCCCTACCTATGCACCCTAAGAGTGGTGGATCAGGTGGCATCACCATTGGGTCCCAGCCTGCTTTGCTCAGAAAGCAAGACAAGATCAGCCCATGTGTGAGCTTATCCTGGGTGAGCCAGGCACAGCTAGCACACGCTCCCAGAGGCTCCAGAGCAGCCAGCACTGAGTGCTAACCCTCAGGGAGCTGAGGCAACTGGAGGACACACAGAAAGGCAAGTGGGACTTTGACCTCAGTCACTCCATAACGGACATTCAGCTGTAGCTGCCCTAGAGACTTGCCGGTTCTCCAGAGACCAGGTGGGTGGCGGGAATGGCAGGAAGCAGGCCTGCTACCGGCGCCCCTCTTGCCTTGATAGGAATTCGGCCCCCAACTGTTGGAACGGTCCCACTGTGCCATGGAGGACAGGCTGCTCACTCAGTGTCGGTGCTCTGTTCTTCGTGGGTCCTTGAAAGAACCAGGGTCACTCCAAGATGAATTTTAGGTTTAGCCAAATGGGAATCAGCTGGTGAACTGACTGACAATTACTTCAAAAAACGCTTTTTTTAATTGTTACACAGTTTATATCTCTTGGCAAGTCAGTTCTCACATACCAAAACCATCTGCCCAAGCAGTTCTCCGCTGTAAGACGTCTTGGTGTTCCAAGTCCTTTCATAACTTTTGCAAGGACTCTGAACCCTTCAGGGAAACTCAGAAGAATCAAACACATCAAAGCTGGATGCCTTTAATCCCAGCACTTGAGAGAAAGGCAGCTTCTGTGAGTTCAAAGCCAGCCTGGTCTACAATATGAGTTCCAGGACAGCCAGGGCTACATAGCGAAACCCTATCTCAAAAAGGGAGGGAAGGAGGGAAACATTTTAAACAAAAGGTAACATCAGAAAGCCTAGTTCAGAGCCCAGCGCTAACGCTGTGGAATTCAAGCCAGATAGAATGTTCTTGGATCTCTCAATACACTGCAACTTGAGGAATTTAACTTTTTAAGAATATTTGATGTGTCTGAGTGTTTTGCCTTAATGTGTGTATGTGCACCACATGGGTACCTGGTGCCCAGGGCGGCTGGCAGGGGGCATCTGATCTCCTGTGCAGTGATGAGCTATCTTGTAGAAAACTGGGAACCGAGCCCTGGGTTCTGTGCAAAAGCAGCGTGTGCCGTTAACCTCTGAACTCCCTCTCCAGCCTCCAGGGATTTAACTGTAATTGCTTCTAAAAAGCCCTCTGATTTGACTCACAATTTAGCCACCAACTCAGGCCAGCACTGGGAACCGAGATCAGATGTGTGGCACAGTGAGTGGAACAGCCCAGCCCAGAGCAGAGCAGAGCCTGCAGCCTAAGGCTGTGGCTAATTTGGCCTTCCAGATATTGAGTAGAATTCCCTCCATCCAGATGTCCTCACCTTCTGAGCGGAAAGATGCTGGACCAGTGTGAGACTAACTAGAACATTGGAGCTACCCCAAAGATGGAGGCAGTTTCTTCCCGACGAGCAGAAACACTTGACCAAAAGCACTGTGGGCTCATGGGTCCCTGTTGCTGGCTCCTACCCAGCCTCAGCTTTCCTCTGGCCAGGAGGAGCGCACCAGCTGAGGGCCTGGGTGCTCCTCCACATGGCCTCAGTCAGGCCTTATCCTCCGCTGGGTCAAACTCCAGTTCAGCTTGTGTCCACTGAGCCCTGCGCAGCAACCCGAACTCTGGCCTGTACTCAATACAGTTCCCTTCCGGTGGGCTTTCTTTCCCAGGATAACCACCCTTGGGGAGAAGGGGGCCCTTCAGTGCTGCAAGCTGCCAAACCACCACACTTTCCTGGGTGGAGGAAACCATTTCAAACCCAGGAAGCAGATCCATGGAGCCACCATGGCAGGAGGCACAAAACAGGGTCTGTGCTTTCAGCTCTGGTGCATGAAGCTACTTTTTCTTTTAAGGCCAGCGCTGTGGGTTTATCCATGGCTCCTGTTTCCTGGCAGGTACACAAATGGAAGAAACAGTCCTGCTAGCCTCGGACCTGTGCAATACTCAGCCCCAGCTGGAGGACCTGGACCACTTCTACCCTCCCGAGTCACAGGCTGCCAGATTGGTCTCCACCCTCCCTTTGGCTTCTCTTTCGTCTGTTCGACCACCAGGGCCATGCAACTGCCTCTCTGATTTCCAGTTGGAGTGGGGTGTCCTTGCCAGTCTTTCATTGCGTAGGTTGTTCTCAGGGCAAGCACTCTGCAGTCCATGTTTATGGCCCAAGGCCACAACCAAGGGTGAGTTGAGGGGAGTCGTGCGGGAACCTGGAGGCAGGAGCTACTTCCTGGCTTACTCCTCATGGCTTGCTCAGCCTGCTTCTTATAGATCCCAGGACCACCCGCCCAGGGACGGCACCGCCCACCATGGGCTGGGTCCCCCCCCCCCCAGTCACTAATTAAGAAAATGCTTGCCTACAGCCAGATCTTCCAGAGGCATTTTCTCAACTGAGGGTCCCTCCTCTCAGACGACTTTAACTTGTGTCAGGTTGGCGTGAGCTGTGCAGACAGTGATGTAAGCTTCAGCCGCTGCAGCTGACTGCGCAATTCTCGCAACTCTCCGTTTGGCCAAAGTCTCAGCTGTGTGTACGGTGGCTCCCATGGCAGTCTGAGCACTCACTCCTGGGTTCTTTTATTTATCCAGTTCTAGCTGGGTCCTGTGGCCTCAAGTCATTCATCATAGTCTGCTTTCTCCTCTGCATAACTCAGTGTGTTAATACCTTCTGGTCTGCTCACAAAGCCAGTTAAATCAAGCTCTGCCCCTCCCTTCACACACATTTGCACTTACAAAAATACCCCCCAGCAGGCCAATCTGTTACAAATGCTGACATAGATTTTTAATAAAATATTCAACAAAAGGTCACATATAAGTATGCCCAATAAAAAATGAATTTGCTTTTTTAAAGATTTTATTTATTATGTATACAACATTCTGCTGTCATGTATATCTGCACACCAGGAGAGGGCACCAGATCTCATAACGGATGGCTGTGAGCCACCATGTGGTTGCTGGGAATTGAACTCAGGACCTCTGGAAGAGCAGTCGGCGTTCTTAACCTGTGAGCCATCTCTCCAGACCCCATGAATTTGCTTTTTAAATCACAGAGCTTTCAGTAGGTCGGAGAAAAGTGGCACAGCCTCAGTAGAGTCTCCCCCCACGCCCCTTCTCTGTGTAGCCCTGGCTGTCCTGGAACTCACCTATAGACTAGGCTGGCCTTGAACTCACAGAGATCCGCCTGCCTCTGCCTCCCAAGTGCTGGGATTAAAGCTGTGTGTCACCAATGCCCAGCTTGTGTGTGTGTGTGTGTGTGTGTGTGTGTGTGTGTGTGTGTAACATTTTTAGTTACATTTTTTCTTTTTTTAAGTGTGTGTATGCGTTTGTGCATATATGTGGCCATGCACACACCACAGTGCGAGTGTGCAGGTCGGAGGACAGCTTGCAGGAGTCAGTTCTCTTCCACCGTGTGGGTCCCTGGGATTGAACTCACGTCTTTACACTTGGCAGAAAGCCTCTTTACCCATTGAGCCACCTCGCTGGCTTTACTTTTAGTTGTATTATTTGTGTATCTGCCCTCTCCTCACCTCGGCTCTTCTAAACACACTGGTCTTTTTACTTTCTACCTTGCCCTTCAGAGAGTAATAAATCTTGGATTCATTCTCAATCTTTTCCTTCCTCTGCTTTCTGGTTTTTTGTTTGTTTGTTTTTATGAACTGCTTTGTTTTCTCCTAGAATGCTTGGTTTGTAGTCCACCAAACATTTGCAGATATCATTACTATTCTGCCTTCAGCTTTGCCCACCTGGTCGGATTTTGATGCATAGTAACCTTGTAATTGCAACTTCCTAGATGGCCCGCCACTGTTGTTTATATTTCTCTTTAAAATAAGAAAAAATAAGCCGGTGGTGGTGCACACCTTTAACCCCAGCACTCGGGAGGCAGAGGCAGGCGGATCTCTGTGAGTTCGAGACCAGCCTGGTCTACAAGAGCGAGTTCCAGGACAGCTTCCAAAGCCACAGGGAAACCTGTCTCGAAAAACAAAAACAAAACAAAACAAAAAACAAAACAAAAAAAGAGAAGAGAAAAAATAAAACGAGACTTTTGCTTTTATATTTCCAGTAGATTACACATTAACTTCTTCTTCTTTTTTTTTTTTTTTTTTTTTTTTTTTTTTTTTTTTTTTTTGCTTCAACATTATTAGTTTTGTTCTTATTTCAGGTTGTACCTATAGTTTAGATTTCACTTCTTGGAATTGGGGATTGGGGGGCTGGAGGGAGGGCTTAGTTAAGAAAGTGCAATGCTGTTTCAAAGGGCTCCCCAATCATTGCCTCCGAGGTCCACAAGGCGAGTGTGGAGGTGTGGGATCTCCTCCTCAGCAATGAGCAAGTCATCGCTAACCATCTCAACAACTGTAAACTCTGCTGCTCTTTCTCCACACTTGATATTGGCCTCTTTTGCCTGGTATTCATTGCCTTTTCATTCTGGTTTTAATCAGCATTGATTTTATAAAACTAAAAGCGCGTGATATCATTGGGTGAGATGGTGGAGGCCTATTAATCTCAGAATTTATCTTAGAGCTGTCCTGAGCTACATCATAGCAAGACCTTGCCTCAAAAGACAAAAAACAAATGTGCATGATAAGTACCTTTCAGGAGGGAGAGGCTGGGTCAAGGACTCCCAAGGACAGCCCTAGCGTCCCCATTCCCACTCCTTGTCACTTCCCAGGGCCCCCTCGAAGCATCCAGCTCAAGACTGGCAAGGTCATGGCAAGGTCATGGAACTCCCACCCAAGGTGAGCCACTACCTCCTCAGACACCTGCTGAAGCCACTAGACCAAAACCCTCCTGTTTTTCTCTCGAGTTATTAGACTACATGAGAAGTCTATGCAAATGCCTTATGTTGGAAAATGCCTGAGATGACTAAAAAATTCCCAGACCTCCCCAGAGGTGGAGGCAGCTGATGCCCAGGGCGGGAGCTGGTACTCTGGGCAGGAGCTGGTAGAGGGACCTCTCCAGCCAGTCAATCATTTGCCAGCAGCTGGGGAAGGTGGTGAGCATTGAAATGGAAGGCCTTCAGGAGAGGGAATTAAAGGAGACCTGTGCTGGGCTGCCTATCTGCCCGTATGAGGCTGACTGAGCAAGAGGAGACTTGAGGAAGAGGCGGGCAATTAGCCGGGGGTGGGGTGGGGGGTGATTTATGGGGTGACCTCCGCTGGCCTTTCTCTGGCAGGAAATGGGCTGTTTACTAATGTCTTCCCCCCCTTCCACACACCTGCAAAACCTGTTCGTAGTATTTTAAAATAATTTACTAGATGAAGTTCTATGTTTTCCTTTGGACAGCTGCCCAGTAAGACTTTTTTTTTTTTTTTTTTTTAATTCAGATTACAATGTTTTCCTTTGTCTCTGTCCTGTCCCTTGCTCTTTCTCTCTTCCCCTTTCTGTTAGGAGAGAAACTTCAAGGACACTGAGACCTTTATTGATGTATTTTCGAGGCAGGGTCTCCAGTATCCCAAGCCTTGCTCAGACTCCTCTCATAGCCAAAGGATGACTGAACTTCTGACCCTTGACCCCTTGACCCTCCTGCCTCTACCTCCTGAGTGCTGGGTGTGTATGACCATACCCAGTTAATGGGGCGCTGGAGATTGCACCGCACCAGCTGAGCCGTGTCCTGAGCCCCTGTGGTACAGCTAGAAACAGACCTGAGTCTCAGATAACCCTGTTCAGTTCAGCTGTCACAACACACTCACTTTCCCCTCTCTCCCATGTGATCGTTTGGCAATCCCCCCTCTGTGTGCGTGCGTGCGTGTGTGTGTGTGTGTGTGTGTGTGTGTGTGTGTGTGTGTTTACATGTATGTGCATGTGTGTGTGCATATGTGAACACATCTGCATAGGGCTTCAGGTAAAACATAAGCTATGAAACACAGGACAACTTTCAGGAGTCCTCTGCTTCCACCATGTGGGTTCTGGGGTTCAAACTCAGTCTGTAGAACATGCCAACCACAGCCAGAGGCACCTGACCTGAAGCTGTGACCCAGTGCCCAGTCCTAAGGTCAAAATCCTGGTTCTATCTCTGGTTTATCACTAAAGTAAATTCCTGTTATACAAATTCTGGACTGCTTTTGTTTCATAGTATTTCCACCATGGTCATTGCAGACAGTGTGAAGTTAGGTCATTCAGGGAGACATCAGAGGTCTCAGATTCTAAAGACCCAACTCGGGAGAGCATTGGGGTATGTGGTCCAGGAGAGAAGAGGCAGATGCTGAACACGGGAGGGGCACAGGCCCACGGCAGGACATGGCTTCCTTGAGACCTACTGAGAAGAGGGCATTCTCTGAGGATCTAGGGGGAAGATTCCACTGTCTCTGCTCGGGGTGGGTGGAGACTCTGGATTGGAAGGCATCAGGACCTGCCAGTCTGTGTACATGAAGGGCCACCCTAAGGGAGGAAGGCTGTTCTCTCGCTTCTCCTAAAGCTGGGCCCTTCCTTGCTGGGGACCCTAGGTGGCCTGAACTAAGCAGGAAGGACCCAGAAAGCCTGACTGACTAAGACCTGTCAGGATCAGAGCCGAGTTCAGAGAGAACCAAATGTAGCGTTTCTCAGTCCACACCGGCAGGGCTGTAATTCATACCATGTTGCAACCATGGGTTCCTGGAACACATCTGAGTCTGACTCATGTTTCCTTTTCTTTCTAAAGCTTGAGGTCTTTGTCAGGCCTCAAAGGAGTCCATCTTGGTTAAGACCTAGTCCTGAAGGTCTGAGCAGGAGGGTGGCATCATCTACTCCATGGTGATGACCCTGACTGTAAGGAGGAAAAATGAGGCTGGGAGGGGCATAGACACCTGTCCTGGGGGTTAATGAGAAAGAGAAAGTGAGGGTCCTCCTCAAGAACAGCAGGTGCTCTGAACCACTGAGCTCCTCTCCGGGAGGATAATAACCCCTGCTTGCTCTTCCTGCCACCTCCCAAACTCTGGGACTACAGGCGAGTGTCACCGTACACGGTTTAAGCTCTGCTGGGGCCAGGACCCAGGGTCTCAAGCATGTTAGGCAAGCCTGCCACTCTGGGCTATATGAGTCTATCACAAACAAACAAAAAATAAATATCTTCCTTCCTTTCTTCCTTTTCTCTTTCTTTTTTTGTTGGTTTTTTGAAACAGGGTTTCTCTGTGTAGCTGAGTAACCCTGGATGCCCTGGAATTCTCTTTGTAGACCAAGCTGGCCTTGAAATCTCAGAGATCTGCCTGCTGTTACTACCTGGGCCACATTCTCAGCTACCAGGCAGCTGAGAATCATGGTGTCTCTATCCAAGGCCAGAGACAAACTCAGATCTCCTATCTCTCTTTTCCTTCATTTTTTCTTCATTTGTGAGAATTTCAAAGTTGTATATACAGCTCTTATTCTATTGAGTTCCTCACTTTACAAGCTGCTGATTATGAAGGAGGGCCCAGCCCTGGGGACCTTCAAGCCCACTCTTATCTGACTAGCTACCTCATGTTGCCAGGTGTGTTGGATCATTTTATGTCTACTTGACACAGACTAGAGTCACCGGAAAGGAGGGCACCTCAATGGAAAGAATCTCTCTCTCTCTCTCTCTCTCTCTCTCTCTCTCTTGTGTGTGTGTGTATGTGTGTGTGTGTGTCTGTCTGTCTGTCTCTGTCTCTGTCTCTTTCTGTCTGTCTGTCTCTGTCTCTGTCTCTGTCTCTCTCTCTCTCTCTCTCTCTCTCACACACACACACACACACACACACACACACACCAAATCATTATTTTAAAATGAGAACAGTTTTCAGGTAGACAGCAGCCTTCTCTTTACTTTTGCTTGGGGCTGGCTCTGTGGCTTTCTGAGATTTTCCCATCATGCACTAGAAGATGCCAGTGCTTCAATATCAGGCTCAGGGGTCCTCATCCTTAGT